AAAAAAAAAAAAAAAAAAAGGAAATACAGCTCAAAAACGTAAAATACATCATTGTACAACTGCAATTTAATTTTCAGATTGTCTAAAACGCTCAAATGGTTCAAAATTTTCTGATACGGTTTTTCAGAAGCAAAACTTAAACCAACTTTGAGATTCTTGTCTCAAGAATACTTTATCCAAAAAAGTGATTAAAAGACAATACAATTTTTTAAGACGTTCAACTGGTAAAATTTTTTAAAACTTTCTGACAGTTAAAACCGCTAAAAAATCTGTAAGTAAAAAATTTTACTTAATAAATATGTCATAATTTTTCAATCAAAAGGGAAAAAACCAAATTGACTCAAAAATGGAATATGCTGTAACTAGACGAAACTAAGCAGAAACAAAGAACGTAGTACTGAATGACGAATTTTTATAAAGTAATACAGCAGAAGCGACGTCAACGGTGGTCACTGCTCTAAAATCATATAAAAATTTCACTAAAAAAACTGTGGAACAGACTAGTATTAATATGAGCACTAAAATTGTGTTTTTTAGTCTAGCTTAAATGCTGCTATAAATTCATTAGTATCTTGACAAAAAAAAAAGTTAAAAGATTTTAATTTTGATTTTAGGTCTATATTCATTTACAAGTAAGTAAAAAAACGAGAAAAAAAAGTAAAAGAACTTGGTTAGAAACTGTGCCATTTGAAATGTTTGATTAGAGGACAGTATATTAGAAGAAGAAGGAGGAATAGGAGAATAGCAAAACGAACACAGATGAAGCGAAAATAATAGTAGTGAAAAAGAAGAGGATATGAAATCTTGATTTGCGGAAAACAACAGTTTAGCGAACAACAGAAATACAGCAAGCATCCCGAAAAAACGCAACATTTCATGCAAATACCTTCACTCGCATCAACGAAACAGCATTCAATTCTATTGGAGGTTCTACTTCGCAAGCTTTCACATTCTGCAAAACTCTCAACACTCACAACAAGCTTTAAAAAGCAGTCGGGGCTTATTTTGGTAAATACAGAATATGAAACTAATAGCATTCATGACTAACAGAACTACTGTTTATCCTTATTGGTAACAGTTTTGGTAACGGTTATGCCGTTACTGTAATCTGTAATTTCAAGCACCACAGGCGTTCCGTTATTGAAAGCCCAAAATTGAACAACGGTTCAGACCAAAAATTTTCCAACAAAAAAATTTTTTTCTTTCGTTTCTCTCTCTTTTGAATGGCAAAACGAATGAAAACAAATAAAAGCATTGTTAGCACTTTCAACATTTCAGTCATTTATCCGAAACAACAATATTGGAATGACCTGTTTAGCGCTACATAGAGTACAAGAAGACTAGTTGAAACCGTCTGACAAGCCGCCAAGGAAAATTGTTTTGTAAATAACATATTTCACTGTTTCCTCTGTCATCAAATATTGCCCAAAACAAAGTGTTAAAAAATTCCTCTTTAAGATCTTTGTTGGGTTACGGGATAAGTGTGTAAAGTAACTCAAGTTAAAATACAAAACGGAGTCATTAGAGTGAGTACTTCTAATATGGGTTTCACAATCGACAACAATCACGACTTTACGCATAATGTCACTGCTTACAAAACCTTAAATTGAGCATTTAAGTAAAACAATTGAAAAAGTAGTAGTTACCTCATCATAATCGTAATGAGAGTCACGAGAATACGGTTTTCGATAATCACGTTCATAGTAACGCTGTAAAGAAGGTAAAGTATCATTGCCAGTACTTAAAAAGTGTCCTTTTGTTAAAAAATAATAAGAACTTTTTGCTCTCTGAATTTTTCTCTACAAATTAAAAACCTACAAGAAAAAAGTACGAGAAAAAGTAAATTTTTTATGACAAAAAATTATTAAACGATAACAGTTACTCTTGAATGCGAGTCAACAGAATCACTATCTCTGCGATTTTTCGAAAATGGCGAACAGAACGAGCGCTCTGAATTTGTCTTCTCGCTGAAAATATTCTTGATCTAAATAGCAGTTCTGTAATGAAGATTCTCTGTTTACTCAGAGTTAGGAGTGGTTTAATTATTCTGTAGTAATCCTACGGCTATGTCAGCGTTCTGGAAATCTTTTTAGATTTTTATTCCCCCTTTAAATGTTAAAAAATCACAGTTTTCTGTCTGAGCACCTTTCTTAAAGATGATTTCGGCTTAATTGTGAAAAATATTCAGCTTCTGATTGTTCTTATTCTTGCTATTTGTTTTCAACTGTAAAAAGACTGGTAAAAAATAGCTGTCCTTAAGATCAACAAACCTTGCTTGTGAAGAACGTCTTGGAAAATTCGTAGACTGAGGACTCTGTGGACTCTTATCTATATCGGGTGTTTTTACAGATTTTATACGGTCTACAAGTGTGTCAAAAAGTGAGTATGGCTTCTGAAAGTAACAAATATGTAGATAAATAATCAGTTACAAAGTCTGCCAACTACAAGTAATTAAATCAAAATTTGTCGAAATGTGGTCAAATACATATGTATTTTTTATTTCTTCTTCAAATCTAAAATTAATTGACTAAAGGACAAATTATAAAAGTAAAACTGTTACGACATACTCCTGGTGACAACGATCCCTTTGTGTGGTTCATATAGCTGGCAGTCCCGTCTTCGGCGTTCATGTGCTGGCCACTCGCAGCAGCATTTTTCGCTGCTACAACCAGTGACCGAAGACCATCAATTCCACTTGTGCCACCAATCTGCAAGCAAGAAAGACAGATGTAATCGGGGTCATTTATTTAAAGTATTAAAATGCCAAATGAAAATCAGTTATAGAACAGATTTCATAAACTACTGTAATGTAGGATAAGAAGTGGAAAGTTCTATTTAGGTACTTCCAATCAGCTATAAATACTTAACAATAACCGGAGTGATGATGGCAGTGAAATAACAGAAAATCCTGTTAACATGCTTGGTCAAGTAATGGGAACCGGTAATCGCTAGTTTTTTCTTCTTCAAAAACACTCATGAAGAAATCTTATTTGTGATTACAAAACGATGTAAAAATACAGTTCAAACACGGTTTTAAATCTGTCATTGCACATAGTTAAAATGAACCTTGAAACAGTGTACTAACGGTAGCGCGTAAAAAAATTAGCTAAGATTTAAGAGCAGTGGCTTATAATTCTACTACGGAAATCTGATAAAAACCATTTTATTCCTCCCCAGGACCAACACTCTAGCAGAAATAGTTTTTTTGCCATTAAGTTTTTATAACTAGACTTAATTTACGAAGCTATCAAAAAAAGATAATAGAAGCTGCATTTCATAGTTTTTTAAAATTTTTTAGCACAAAATGGTATTTAACAACAAAGTTTACTGCAGCTTTTTTAACTAAATTTAATTTTCAAATTACAGCCTACTTTAGTAAAAAGAATATTTTGCATCAAAGCCGAGCCCATAAGTATTAATTAAATGGTGCATCTCTTTTAGCCTAAATTATTTCATATAACATCGTTCCTAAGTCGCCAAAAATACTATAGTAAGTCTGATTTAGAAAAAAGTAAGTGGAGGAACAAAAAGGCGAATATAAGTTGTGAATTCGAATGTACTTTAAATCGCAATAGTGTCTCTGTTAAAAAACTGATATCAGAGGTCAAGGATTCAACTGCAAAATGCTAGAGAAATTTATGGGGGATAAGCAGAAAAAACATTGGTTTTCATGCTGCAAAAATTGAGGACTGTAACGAGTGCTACACACTTTAACCTCTGATTGAACACCACCACATCTTTGTCTCAGCGCTAAAGCTCGACGTTTCAGTCTTAAAAGGGCAGCGCGTCGCCGCTTCTTAATTTCAAACTGAAACAGTACAGATAGCAGCAAATAAAAACCATCTTAAGTTGTATAAGTGTTCAGCAAAACTTGAACAGCATATCTTAGACTTTAAAGGATTGTCAGTTTTAAGTATTTAACGGTAAAATGGGTAAGGGTTTTTTCAGTAGTAGGTATTTCTTACTCAA